CGAGATCGTATCGCTTCCACACATACTCCTGGCCTGTGATCTCCTCGGCGTGTTGCAAGAACGCCTCCGTCTGCGCAAACTCGTGGGCAGCTTTCGTCACCACCGTAAGACTCCGCCCACACGCGACTACGTGGCCCCAAGTCCACACTCTCCAGTTTACCGGCCACGATGGCCAGTAGATAGGAAGGAATGGGCACGGACTGCTGGAATGAGACTTGGTAGGTAGCGTCCATAGTGTTGTGGTTCTTGCGGCCCTGCGGGTCTGCTATGGCGCTCATCAGACACGTGCACCAGTCCGGCACCGTGACTGTGGCCGAGTACGTGAATTTACACGCCGGCGTGTCCGGACACGGCACGATGGTGCGTGCGTGGATGGCCTGGCACTGCGTGAAGAGATACGGGTGCGTCTTGCCGGCTGTGAGCTCCTTGCTGAGCCACTGCAGGCCGCTGGAGGCGTCGGATGTGGTGTAATCCACACGGATCTTCGTGGCGTGGCTGGGCACGGACACCACGAGTGCGCGGCCGAATACCGGGTGCTCCTTCTCGGCCAGAGCGAAGGGCGTCTCCTTGCCGTCTGCATAGACTTTGGAGACGCTCAAATGGTGCGTGTCCAGCACCACAACGGAGGACGTGGCGGTCGAGGCGTGGTGGAACGTGTACTCGGCGTATCCCTTGAGTTGCTGGGCTGCGAAGTCCAGCGCAATGACCCAATTGAGATGCGTGAACGTCACCTCGTCCAGGTTCGAGTACGAATGCGAGCGAAGGGGGCGCTCTTGATCCATTTTCACTTGCGATTTAGTGGGGATATTGAACAGGGAGTATTGACGAATGAGAGCTGTGATGTGTGTCCAGAGATCCGCACAAGTTATTGTGGAGGGGAAAGTGGGATTAGTGACATCGGAAACGATTTACAGAGCGTAAAAGTGTCGCATAGTCGAAAAAGAGTAGGGATTCAGGAAACGCGCTGTTCGTCTACATGGCCTGTGGTTTGGTTCCTTTTAGGGGGATGATAGTCTGCTGCGGGCTTCGTTTTGTCTGCTAGCAGCGCTAGTCCACACGTACGGCGATAACATATCAGCAACCAATTGGAAATGGCCGATTGCATACTGTGCACCTTACTTTCAAAACAAAGTTTAAATTTCATTACTATAAGCTACTTTAAGGTAAGAAGATATTAATACATGTAAATCGGTGGTATTTAGAGCTATCTTAAGCTTGAAGATAAATCGGAGGCATGGGGTGCCATAATGTGCAATTTCTTGTGTGGTGCAGCGTGCCTGTGTGTGTGTAGTAGGTTTTGTGGTCTGGGTGTGATTTTGTCAGCCTTTGCTAATTCTTTGTCTGTTTTAAATGTGCTCTCAAAATTTAGGTTGGCTTTTTAAAGCGTACCATTTAGAAGGTACACTTGGCTTGGCTACGGGATCGAATAACCGTAGGCACACGGTCCTCACCAATCAAATTCCATTTATCCTCTTCCTATTGGCCAAAACACTTTTGACCAATCCTCGGCCATTATCGAATTGGTCTGGAGGCGGACAGCCACGCATTATCATCTTCTCAGGCAGGAAGAGCGACGTCCGCTTCTCTCCAT